CCCAAAACGAAGGAAGGGCGTGAGCAGCTGCAAGCAAGGCTCCTCCACAGCTACCCGAACCTCAGACTTAGCAGCAGCAAAGCTACAAGACTGCGCGTCTGTAGAGTTGTGCCTGAGCGCTGCTGGGAGAGTGGCGCACTAGGTGAGGGAGCGTCTGAGCTAAAACTTGAATTCGGCCTCGAACTGAATCAGGGAGCTTTAACATTATGTTCATAGCAGCAGTACTTTGCAAGTAGCTTTCCAAAGTTGTCAGATTCTTCAAACGCATCAACCAAAGAATCTCCGTGACAGGGACGCCTGAGTGGTAGGCGTATATAGCCCCTCCGGATCGGAGTGTCCCTGGTGTCAACTGCCAACTCTTGTCGATCTGTAGAGATCGCAGCAAGGCATCCCATCGACGTCGGTAAGTGCTTGGTGTTCCAGCATATAACCTCTCCTCTGGCGAGAGAGTCTTCAAGATCCGATCAGCAGCAGCTAGCGCGTTGCCGTCAGTAATCTTAGTATGCTGGACGATGCCCTTGCCACGAAAGCTAGTCTTCGACTTCTCAATATTCAGGAAAGCTGCATCAAGGCCGACACCAGTTTCAGCAGGCAACAACAAATCTTTACGAGCGGCTTTAAGAGGCTCACTTATGCGAAGTTTGCCATGAAATGCTAACAACGTCACTGCAGCGAACCGGTACCAACCCCAAAGATAAGCAAGCGAAACTACAGCATCAAAAATGAGTTTGGGCATCGGAGTCCTGTGCTCTACCGGTTGAATCCTTTCCCATCTTGCAATCAGGTCCCATGCTTCGGACAAGGGAGCAGGAAAAACTGGATAGTTCCGTTGGAAATAAACAACTAGGTGACGAAAAAGGTACAAGGGCTGTGAGGATGCAAAAAGATGCCGTCCAAAAGCTCGTAAGAAAATCACACAAAGCTCAGGTAGATCTTCTAAATTTCGCCAAGTTGCTTCACTCAGTTCAGTAGCCAGCCAAGCCGCAAAAAGGGCTCGGGCTTTCTGCTGGATGAACGAAGTGTGAGCAGTGACCAACTGAACTTCCTCCAGATCTACAGCGGGCCGAGGACGTCGCGGCCTCGGCCCTGGCTTCGAGGCTTCCCCCACTCGGGAGTTAACATGAGCACAAGCGGCCAAGTCCAGTTTCCTTTGCCTCGAGGGAGGCAGCAGCTGGTTTGCTAAGACTAAGGCCAGGGCACCGCATAATTTTGCAGGATATGCCTCAGCAACCTTGGTCCAGGGCTTCCGGTGCTTTCTCGAATAGCCGCTCAGTCTGAGGTGCTCATGCGAACTGCCGCAACGGCAAAACAACTTGCATGGTTGGAAAGAAGTGTTTGTCAAAAACTTCGTCCTCTTGCGCCAGGGAGTTCCCCAAACACAAAAATCGGTCACGAAAAAGGAGCTCCCAGGGGAATCAGCAATGTCCTGCCATTCCGGCTGGTCCCAAAGAAAAGACATCCAAGGGTTCTCAACTAGAAAAATGCAGCCTTGTGAACATGCAGCTTTGATCAAAGCGGCAAGCCAACTAGAAAAAGCATTTCCCTCTGCTACCTTCCGTTGCATGTTACTAGACAGGCATTCTAGGCCTCGTGGGAATTGTCTGCTTCTGACTGGCGGGCGTACAGCCCGGGAAAAGCTCGAACAAACCGGGCCTGCGGACAGGAGGCGAAAACACTTCCGCTGAACAAGAGCATCTAACTCGGCTTGGACAGATGGGTCCAACAGGTCCTGCCGTGGGTCATGCGCAATATCATAAGTGAGGACCCAATTTTGAGTGTGTCGGGCGAGGGATTTTGCGAGCCCTCGACTGCCTGAAAAAAGGTCCAAGGCACCAGTGAAGCTCAGCGAAGTGCGTCGCTGCTTCCTATTCCAGCTCTTGGGAAAAACAAAATAACTCTCGGGGAGCTTGCGGAGGAGCTGCTCGGCTGCGGGGTGCAGCTTGACCTGATCCTCAGTCTTCCACAAGTCTGGAGCGGGGTTATTCGGCAAGCCAGTCACTGCGGTGCGGTGTTCGGCAGAGCAGTGCCTATTTCGATAATCCCGTCGGAGCAGCTGTCGGTCGGACCGCAACCAATCTGGCGGTATGGCAGAGTCTTCAAATTCGGGGAGGCGAGCAAGAGTGGCTTCATCAGCTGAGCTGGCTTTGAGCATATCATCTAGCGATCGAAAGTCACCTTCAAAAGCTTCAACCAGCCATTTCGGAGCGGTTTCAACAGGTTCACGGAGCTCCTTATCTCGAGTAGGGTCATCAGCGGGGTTGTCACTCGATGGTAAATATTGGTGCCCAGGGTACAAATTCCCACAAAGCAAAACTGGAAGGTGTCTCCGGAGCATCTTGTTCAGCACCACCGAGGATGCTCTGCCTTTGACAACGGCCTCTAAACAAACCTGCGAGTCAGTTCCGATATTGCAACGGGTGCTGGGTTGCTCGGAAGAATGGTGTGCTTCGGCCTTCAATAAACCCCTCATTTCACTAACATTGATGTGCTCAGACCTAGCGGCTCGATCGCAGAACATTGGGTAAAACTGACACGATCGCATTAACTGCACCCACAGCAAATGAGCCTGAGCAGGAGCTTCACCCTCCGGCACTTCGTCTGCTGGGTCCAGGCGGCCTAGGCGGCGTTGGTGGCTCTTCCAGGGTGACAGAAGACGTGACCAAGCTGCTCGAGTCATCGTATGTCGCGACAGCTCTTTGGCAAAAGGAGCGGTAAGTTCAGTGACAACCCCAGCGATGCGTTGATCTGATGCATCGACTGCGTACAAAGTCGTCGACGTGGGGGCGGTCAAATCGGAACACATGAGAGGCGCCAATACGACTAATGTCCAAAGCTCTGCAACCAATTGGGGTGAGATCCGAAAGACAACACCATACTCATGAGCTTGAATCTCTACAAAAATCTGCTGTAAAAGGCACATGCAGCGCTTCCGAGCAGCAATAATGGCTGTCCAGGAACCGGCAATGATCTCGAGCAAGTGGCGGGACGCTGCGCCTGTACGAGCGACTCTTGCAGTGACAAAGCTCAGAGGGATTGTGCGATCCAAAAGGGCTCTGACCAGTCCTGAATTTCCGTCGATGCTAATGCCCCAAAATTGAGGGTGCTCTTCCGCCCGGAACCTCTTCGAATCGTTCGCGACCAGACCGACATGCGAGTATACGTCAACCATAGCGTCGGCCAATCTTGAAGAAAATAAAGGGGCAGGAACAGAACTTTTTGGGACAGCTTCCAGGACGATGAAGTCATCTATCACATAGCCCACTGCCCAGCTCTGGCGAGGGAACCTCCCCCGCAGCGTGAGTAAATCTCGCATACCCACCAACCCATGCAACAATCCAAGCTTGACGTGTGCTTGCTGGCCGAACTCTACGGCATTAAGGTCTCCCATAGCCATAGTTTTCAGCGCAGGGATCAAAATACGAGCCTGTCGATCTGCCCAGCGATACGCGCCTCGAAAGCGCTTGGCCTCTGCACGGGAGAGCTGGAAGGCGAGTGAGTTGCGCTTAGCTCGACTCTCCGAAATGATATAGTAGTAGTAGTCTTTTAGATCTTCTCCTGCAGCTACAACCTTGTGGTCGGGGGGAATGCGCATACCAAGGATGGGGGTAAGAGACCCCATAGTCTGAGTCCACTGATTCAATCCAGGTTCAAGGGCATTGGCGGGACGGCAATCCAAAATCAAACGATCTGCGGTGAGGTTTTTCATCAATGCAAATACTCCTGCTCGGAAGTCCATCCGGAGCTCATCCGGAGAGAACAAAGCAAGCCTGCCGGTGCTGTCAAGGGAGGAGAGAAGTCCCAGGATCTCTTTTCGATCTCCTCTGACCTTCACGGTCGGAATCTCCTCAAAGCACTCGGAGGGAGGCACGGCAAACTTCAAAGGATCTTGGTAGAGAGATCTGGCCGGTTCTTCTAGGTAGGGCGTAGGGTCGAAAGCCGGGCGCCCCTTGAAACTCAAGCGTCCAGCTTCGACGGCCTTCGCGGCTTGGATGTCTTCCACTTGGACCGCAGTATCCTCGCCCGCTGCCGCTCGATGCACGGGTCCATTACCAGACCCTGACTTTGGAACGAAAGCAACCGCAGATGTCTCCAAGCGGTGGACCAGTGCTTCTAGACTCTCAACCTTGCCTGCAGTGCGCCCCATGGACTCTGCTGTAATGTCTTTGAACTTCAGCCATTCACCAGCTAGATGCTTCAAACGTGTCACCAGAACCAGTTGAGACGGAGTCAAAGAGGAAAAAATACTGAACTTCCGAGGCCAGATCGCCGGTTGTCCCATATGAATCCAGTTCAAAATAAGAACCATCATGTTGGCGCACCTTCGCCAAGCATCATCCTCCGTCGCCTCACGAGCTCCAGCTAGCAGAGCAGGGTAAGGCAGCGGAATAGGCCACTCCGGCCTAGGGTCATGAAGGTCTCCTTCAGGAGCTGGACTATGGAGAGCGGTGTGCAAAAAAGTACGTAGGGTGCCACATGGAGACCTCAGCACCCAACGGAGCAATGAATTCCACAAACCTCTTGCATTCACTGTACTCGCGGAAGCTCCAGGTGCCCGGTGCTCAGGCTTCTTTTCGGCCTCAGCTGGAACGGTGGGCTTGGCTTCCTCTGCGATCTCACTCGGTGGACCTTTGACTGACGAATGGGTTTGGCGCAACAAAGCGCCGGCGCGCACTTCACCTCGCGGCGGGTAGGCATCAGCAGCAAGGTCCTGCGACCTCAAGTCGGGCAGCAAGCGTCCCGGACCCAATAAAGCAGTGGCGCCCAGGAGGGCACCCTGCTCTGACATAGAAGAACCGGGCACAGGCTCACTCGCAACCGGACTGAGAGGGCAGGGATCAGCTGCAGCCACCACGCCGGGGGTTACTGGGCCGCCTCCTTTTCCTTCTCCCTGCCGGCATCTTTGCCAGAGCCGGCTGATCCAGACCCTTTTCCTTTGCCTTTCCGCTTGGGCGAAGCAGTGCCGTCGGGAGGTGGATCGAGAGGCGTCTTCTTGAAAGTCAGCTTTTTCTTCTTCTCCGCCAACTGGTCGATCTCGCTGAGGTGGTGCAGAAAAAGATCTACCCAGCGAGAATCGATCAACTTTGTCACCTGACTCTCTGTCTCGGCCGGCAACGTATGGGTGGCAAACACTGCAAACGGAGGTGGATCCTCGAGCGACATGGAAGCTGCAACAATCCAACTGCCCCGGTCGATCGAAAGCTGGTCGCCCTGGCAAAGAAGAAGGCCGGCGCGCGCCCGTGCTTCTTCTGGTTTCTGATCTCGCAGGGCATCCAAGATCCCTGCTACCCCCCAAAGGAAGGTAACGGGGGTGCGGAAATTCTGGACTCTCGACCGGGCCTCCAGCCAAGCACGGGCGCTGACAGGGACCACTGGAGCTCCTGGCACGCCCGATCGGCGTAGGTTGAAATCTGCCTCCATGTTGCGCTCGATCACTCGGGAGATTTGCTCGAGGTCTGAACTCAGCGTCTTCTTCAATGCCCTGAGGGCCGCTGCGTTCTTGCGAGCCGATGGAACTCCAGCAGACTCGGACGAGCCGGGATAGCCAGAGCCGTCGAGCAAAGCTTCGAGTGATGTCTCCTTTCTCCGCTGACCGGCCAGGTGTTTTGTGATAGCGGTCAGCTGGGTAATAGCAGCCACCATAGGATCCACCTCCCCAGATTCCCCCGCACGTGACTTCCACAGCGGACTCACCGACGGCATCATCTTCGCTCTCGTCCAACGGATCCTTCCTCTTCGGCATCGGGGCTTTGGGAAGATCAGGGAGACGCGGTTTGCCAGCTAGAGCCAGTTTGGACATCTCCTCCAACTGAGTGGCCGGAATGCCAGCCGCCAAGGCTGCCTGAGCCACGGTGGGATCCAAGCCAAGAAACTGTGAAGCTCGAGGCGGTGCAGCACTGCTCTTTGGCCTTGCACCTTCGGCTTTCTGAGTGGCAGGAGACCCACTGGTCCTCGGATGAGTGTTTTGCCCAATCAAAATCTCGAGCTGTTCTTTGATGCCTGAGAGGTGATTTTCTAGAGCAGCCACCCGTTGGCCGAGCACCTGAGTGTCTTCGGCAGGCACGCTCTCAAAGGAGCTAGGCGCAGCTCGCAATCCAAACAAGCGCTCGGCAGCTAGAGCTAGGCTCGAGGCCAAGGGTAGCATCAATTCATCTTCATCAAACAAAACGGTCAGTGCAGGTCCACTGGCTGTGTCAAAGGAAATATGGCTCTCATAGTCCTTGGAGAGCCATCCAAACCATACTTTTGAATTCACCGTATGAGCTCCAGGGTCTCGGGATGGAGCAAAAAGAACTTCTGCACTTGTGGGCTTAGACAAAAACGTGCTAGGGAGCTGACGCTTGGCGACCTGTCGGTGCCCCGCTGAGTGCGGCGTGACCACCAAAAAAGCACCTCCCATCTCTCCCATACAAATTACAGCAACTCGCTCAGATTCACCAGTGGAGGTTGTGACTTCGCAGAACCCCAAAGGATACTCCGGTTCAAGCTGCCCGGACTCACTCGACAGCACAGCACACTGCCTCAGCACATCGGCCGGAGACAGGGGCAAGCCATCCAGCTCCTCGCCATCTTCTGCTTCTGACATCCTCTAAGCAGGCCAGTGCAGCCCTGCTCGCTCGACCGCGACCCGGGCCTCCCACTGAGTGGGGAAGCCAACGAAGATCGAGTCCCCCAAATAATCCCCGTCACGGACCAAGGCACGGATGGAACCAAACGAATGATGGACCTGAACGGGGTCGTACAAGCGACCGGAGAGGTCGCGCACCAGGATGTAAACCTTGGAAGGCAAAGAGATCTGCTGGCGCCCGGATGGTCCTCGGTTGGTGCCAGACAGGCACCGGCGAAAGTAGTCCCCGATGTCCTGAGCGATCGAACGGCGGTACTCCTCAGTGTACTGGCTTGCAGTAATGCGGCCACCAGGCGTCAGACCTGGAGTGGGTGCCTCAGGCAACTGAGTCGGACCCAAGACACTCACCGAGGGAGCGGAATCGGCCGGACCAGATTGGGTATAGTTGACCGTCACTGGAACGACGGTCGAGGGAGTGCTATCACGGCTTGAACGAGCCTGGGCTTCCAAAACCGAGACACGATCTTGTAGAGCTTCGAGATCCTTCCGCAAGGCACTAAGGTCCTCAGAAGGTGAAAGGCTCATGCAAGCCTTGCTCTCGCCAGCTGCTCGTTCCTCAGCCAAAAGGCCTGCTGCCGAAGCGACACAGACCAGGATACCCTGAGCAACAGAATCCACTCGAAAAGTTGACCCAGCACCAAGCCCAAAATCACACCAGCCAATAGCGAAGGAAAATGCAAGATAGGATCCTCGCAGAAGCAGGGCAAAGGAGAGGCCGGATCGTGAAGCAAAGATGCGACGGCTGCCGCGAGAACCGAAGTCTGGGCAGCGTGGGCAGGCACAAGGCTCATGCGTATTGAGCCGTCGAATGAGCTGCAGACGGAAAAGCATGAAGGTCATATATATATATATATTGATACTCTTGGACTGAGTGCTTCAGCTGGTCAGCACATCAAGAAGGTGTATTTCAATAGGGGTACCTGGTACCTGCACCTCCCAACCAATGGATGTCCAATGGATTTCGTCTGTCCAATCGATGTTCATCGATTTTCACAGAGGTCTTTCGGGGGGTCTCAGTCCCTCCCCAATCCAAACCCTCCATGTATGGTCTATGTGCCTATATACATTGGGGATGGGTTTGAGGGATTGATTAAGCATGTATACCAGTCCATGGTGTGGTCAACACCTGGAGCCTGGTGGACCCCTTGGTAGGTTGACCACCCAGAGAGTCTACTCGGGCGCCCTCCGTGCCAGGAGGCATCTCCTCAGGTTCGCTGGTTCGGCCGCCCCCCCTGGCACCCACCCCCAATCATCTTCGAAACGGAGGGTACTTGGATCCCTAGGCCTATTCCACCCCCAACCAATGGGAGCTTTCGGTTCTCGGCGACCCACGTCCGTTCTCCCCGGCGCCACCTGACGCCTTCACCGCCGCGCGGTGCTCGCACACGCCTCGGGGACGGTGAAGGTGTCGATATCTTCGTCGCCCCGGGGGGGGGGGCGGTCGGGTGGTTCGGGGTGTGACGGTGAGTCGGCGGCTCCAGGAGTCGGCGGCTCCAATGAGTCAGGAGTTCTGAGCGGTTCAGTGGTAATCCGAAAAAGAGAGTGACTGAAGCATCCATGAAAAGCATCAGGAATTCCAATTCGGAAGCCCCTTTTCTGCGCGCGCCATTTCGCGCCCGCTTGCAAGCCCGAAGCAAGACACCACCTGTCCAATGTGATGATCTCATATGACGATTATCATATGCACGTTGCTGATATCCCTAAGGATCCAGTCGTTTTAGAAGGTGGGACTGGGGTGGATGCCAGGAGGGAGGATCCAGTCGTACCTTTTGAGGAGCTACTGTACTTGGATCCCTAGGGTATATGTGAGTGATTGTGTGTGTGTGTCTTTTCATGCATGGTCCATCCACTTCACCGGCTACAGAATGGAACGCTCACGGGTCGGGTCTGATTTCGTCCTCCGAGTCTACGCGGCGTTGGCCATCCGCCGCTGAGGAGTCCGGAGACTCTTGAGGACCATACACCCCCCCTTTTTGAAGAGGATGTTCCACATAAATGGAGGGGTACCCTTGCCAGATTCAGAGTCTCACATTTGGACTGCATGTAAACAGGGCTGCAGAAACCAGACCTCCCATCGAATGGAACCAGACCTCCTCATCCCCGGGGAACACCTCCACGCACCCGTTCGCCCAACTGGTGACTCACAGCGACACGGACTGCGGCCCGGGCGAAGCTTGATGACGGCCGCGGAGGGCGGTAACGCATAGCTGGCGATCCTGCCGAGGCCACGCATGGCTGGGAGGAAAAAGCACTCCTAGGATCCCCCAAAAAATGAACGAAAAGCTCCTTGGTTGGAAGGATGGAAAAAAGGAGGACATCCTTTATACTTCATAGATCACAGCGGAGAGGCCTAAGCTGGGGGGGCGGAAGCTTAAAAAATGACATGCAGACCATCTGGAGAAGCCGGTCTCTTCCAAGTTTGGACCAATGCTTTGCACAAGTCGGACCGAGAAAAAGCATGATCAAGCAATATATGGGTGTGTGTCAAACAGAGGGAGACCTCCTCTTGGCATTTCGCCCACGCCTGGAAGAAGGGAAACAAACCAAAGCCCATCCAAAACCCAGTAGGCCAGGTCTGGGTCGTCTGCCTGGTCTGGGTCCCATGTACACACACATCTGACTGTCGGCTCCTGCGGAGCGCCTCCAAGGAGGGCTAAAACCATGGCTGTGGGTCATGGAGAGTTGGGGCACCAACTGGTTTTTCCCTACAGAAGATGAACAGATGGAAAAACTGCCTGCGGTCAACATCCATTGGAAGCGATGGAGCAATTGGCCGGACTTCATCGACAGTTACCGACTTCTAAGACGAACGACGACGGGTGGTTTTTTTCCGAAGAAGCCAGGCCAAGCCACAGTCGGGTTTTGGGAGCCTCCTGGCTTGGTGACACACTGGCACTTTTGTCTGGTGCATGAGTTTCAGAAGGAGCAAAGCATCTCCAAAGGATGGAGTGCATGCATCTCTGCCATTCAAACCCATTCGAGTGTATCCTCACGCTCCAGGTTTACACCAACAAACTCCCACCAATGCAATCACCCGTTGGTGAAGTTCTGGTTCTGCTGCTTTCACACGAACAAAAAAGCAGGACCCCTAGCCAGCTGTTCAGTTCTTTTTTACGGTTAAATCTACAGTATACTGTCTATACTGTAACCCCTTTGCACTCCCGCATCTCCCAGATTTCTGCATCCAGCTCTACGCCCTGGCCCGCTCTCTCTCTGCTCCCAGCGTGGTCATCACCTCCTCGTGTCATCATTCAAGGCATCCAGCTCCACTCGCCCCACCAGCATGAAAGAACCCTTCGAGTTCTCTGGCACCTGGGACGTTGGGCACCCGGGACGATCCGTCCCATCCCGTCCCACAGACGGCCGTCACGGACCAGTCTCAGACGTCTCACAGAGATGGACAACGATGAAAACAACCGGCAGGGTGTGTGCCTGAGGCTCATGGCTCAACTTGCAGTTGATGTTGTTGATGGTTGTTTTATGTTTTGATCCCACACACTTCGACACTTCGACACTGGTTTTCCATTAAAGCTCAATTTCTCCGCTGGGAAGGAAGGTGAGGGAACGGAAAG